AATTCCTCACCTTTTCAGTGTATCAGACATATGTTAATCACGTCAGCTCTCTTAAGAGTAGTGCACTGTTAGACACCGTTTTCATAAAATTACTCCTGTGGCTGACAGGAGGAAAGGGTGTTTTCCTTTCTTCATGAGATTTCAGTGGCACAGCAATCTGCCCTGTGGGTCATAAAGAAACAGTTTCTTTTATGGAAACTCTGTGGCCTGCTGTGTGTCGGTTGCAGACATGCTTTAAAGAGTCAGGATCTCAGGGCAGTCTGGATGTTTCTGTTGCGGCTTTATACTCTTGGCGCTCCAAGAGTTTCTCTGGAAACTTTGCAACATTCAGCTGCCCCTGTACCATTTCCTTCATACCCTTAGAACCTCTAGGGGAAAACTGGATCCTTGGGGTCCAGTCTCCATGCCAGATGGGACCCCAGGACCCACAGGGGGTTGCAAGCAAAGCGCAGAGGTGACTGCCTTCAGGGAGCAGGAGAGAGATCCTTAGGCAATGATACCTTCTTTGGCCCCTCACCTTCTACTACGGCACTTTGAGCGGAGGCAATCATGCAGATCAAGGGAGCTGCAAGACTGTTTCATGCAGTGTGTGCAGTACAGGTGCCTGCTCTTTGGGAGGGAGGGATCAGAGCTCTGACTGCATCAATGTACAGTCTTGATTCATCTCTGAGAGAGACCCGTTCCAGCCCCAGGCTCCATAAACACATAAAATGCAGATCAGTGAATGAGTATAGCAAACAATAATAAAAATAATCATAAATAATACAAATAATAAAAACAAATAAAAAAGCAAAACATTGCATTTTGTTCACAGTGATGATCCCTGCGGTTCCACAAGCAAGAAAGCCGGGTGTGAAACGGAGGATCCGAAGGAGACCGGCAGACACAGTGGCCAGGAAGGCAGGTCCGACACCCTGACGCTAAAAGCCCAGCATGCGGAGCTCCAAGAAGAGCAGGCAGCGGGGTGTTCCCCTCTGGTGCAGAAGGCGAGCCTCCACCACACGGGCTCCCCAGTGAGAGTGCAGCGCAGCAAAGGGACGGCCTCGTGTTCCCATGCAGCTGCCTCCGATTATGAGCTCTCCCTTGACTTAAAGAATAAACAGGTACAGAGGCTTCCTACTCAGGCTGTGGGAGAAGGGGATGGGGCGGGTGGGACTGCATTCACATGTGGTGGATCATATCTCTAAAAATACTTTAGCCTCCCGTTCACCTTGAGCATTTGCCCCACCTGAGCAGGCCTGGCCCTTTGGCTATGCGAGGCTGATGGAGGAAATAAATAACTTCCTCACCTCTGCCTGCCACAGTCCTTCACCCAAACCTGCCAAGCTTTGCTGCTCATTCCCTATGTTCTGTGGTCCAAAATGGACCCAGTTACTCAGGTGTGACTATAGGTTTAGAGATGGGTTGTGGGCAGCCAGAGCCTGCAACATCCATAGGTACTGCCTGCTCACAAGTACACGGTGCCTGTAGGGCTCCCAGCAATTGATTGTCAGGTCAGAGGTCTCCAAGTGCTCTCTTGTCCTCTTGGGTCAGTCTGGGCAGGCCCCATGTGCTCTTCTACTTTAGCCTCTTCAAACTATGAGCTTCCTGGGGAAGCAGGGTTGACTCAATAGGTGTCCTGCACAGCATCTACCATGATGTCAGTATATTGCTGTCAACGCCTCCTTCAACCCAACAATGGCTACTTGAGAGACAGGCAGGTTCACCAGGCTGAGATAAAATGATTTAGTACTTCGAACTGCAAGCCTTTCCTCCTGTGCCCGAGGCTATGGCCTGGCTCCAGAGCACTGTCTGCCCATCTCTAGCTGCATCTCCTGATATAGCTTTCAGCAGGGGGCTAGCTGGACTACTGGGGCTAAAGGCAGCAGGCCTCCTCGCTCAAAGGCAGTGGTGGAATGTGCCCCCCACCCCCCACCCCACTTCTCTGCAGATTACAGCCCAGGAGAACTGTTCTGCAAAACAAAACACAAAGAATCGATTCTGACTTTTCCCTGGAATGGCAGCTCAACCAAGGAGTAATATAATATTAATATACAGAACCTGCAGAATGGGAGATGGAGAGGACAAACAAGTGGTAGTGACAGTGTCCAGATTGTGTTCAGTGGGAGAATTCAGAGGGAGCTGTGCTATTGCAGATGAAGATGAAGAAACAGTGGTCTCAGCTAACAAGGTTCCCACAGAAGAACGTGCTGTTCCTGGGAGATCTCTGTGCCATTTCCCTCAAGGTATTGCTGCTGTCCCAAAACAGACATGTCAGATCTGTAGCCCTCTAAATTCCTGAGCAGCAAGAAGGCCTTAGTTCTTTAGCTCTGTGTTTCTCAAATACTGCATACCCAACTCGACTTGGACAGAATTCTTGCTTCACACCAGTGAAACAAACAGGAGAGACTAATTAACTGACTTCACAATCCAATGAGACATATCCTCAGGGTGGGCCAGATCTTGGCTGGTATATACAGGCTTACACCTCCTTGATGCCCTAGAGCTGCACTGATTTGTCCTAGGGAGTGTCTGCCCTGTGATATTTTAGCTTTAAGGTCATGTTGTCCTATGACTGTTCTTGCAGCAGAGGCCAGACCTGCCCTGGATGCATGTGAGACAGAGAGACGTGTTAGCTGCTTGTTCGTTACGTTTTGGTGCCCTATAGTACTGTCCTTGCAAGGACCTTGCCTATCTCATAGGTAGAACTGCTTTTTGTACAGCTAAGGGGGATTACAGTATGTGTGCTCCTCCAGCCTGATGAATATCCTCAATGGATTGCCTCCTGCTCTGGAAGGGAGGATTTTCATGGAGGGAAGAGTATTAATTCTTCCACTTTTACACTCTGTATTATCTACTTTCATGGGTGTTCCTACTGACTTGTCAAATAGGTTATATTAAATGGGTACAAAGGTGATAGGATCCTCACAGCACTGTCCCAGTATTTGTCTAGTCGTAGCACAAATTTACTACTTACTGTAAGTATTATTAGTGTGTTACAAACAGGTGGAAGGAGAATTTTTAGTGTTGCAGTGCAGCTGAAGTCAAACTTAGCTTTGGGGGAGGGCTGAGTACTGATAAGAAAGGAGGACAGCATTCAGCTTCCTCAGCACCTTGAAGGTGCAGCTTATTTACCAGCTACTGCTTCTCAGCATAACACTAGAGGGCTGGTGAGTGAGGTCATGACTCCTTGCTGTCCATCCCATGAGACCGAGTGTGCTGACAGTACTCAGAGCAGGAGCACATCATGCTGGGAAGTTGGAAGGGTAACTCAGGTCCTGAAGGCTGGTTTTCCTGAGTTTATGTTCTGCTGGAGAACTGGGAAAATGGAGAGGACCACAGAATAGAGCAGCACTTTTTCAGTAGTACATGATCTCCACTAATGCTGAGCTGAAGGGCTGGCAGATGTACTTTGCATGAAGGAAAATATATCCCATTAACGCATAGTCATTACAACAATGTTCTTCCACTGTGAGAGGTTGGTGGGGAGAGGAATTAAGAAGGGTTGATAGAGTAGATGTATTCTCTGTAGTTTCTTTTTTTTTAATAAGGCATACATTGACTGGAGCAACTCAGATCCTGTCACTGAGCCTGATTCTCTTCTTGCTAACACTGAGGCATGCAACCACACTCAGTAGCAGCCTGTGTGAAAAACCAGTGCTAACTAAAAGTAAGGTCAGGCCCACTGTCTCCTGGAAGACTTGTGGTTTTATGCCGACGGGCAACAAAGCCATGGGGTGTGCACCTCAGCTGTATGGCCACATCCAGGTCTGGCACTTGGGCTTGCCTTGGGCTGGACTTGTTAAAGCTCCCTTCATGTGCAATCCCTTATGGCAATGGGTATTTCCCAGTCATTTCTAATTCAGCCACAAGGCCTGAATTGCTTAAACTGAGTATTCATGTTGAGGCCCAGAAATGTATTAAGCTAATTATTCTTTAAATTCCCCCCATATTGCCCTTCCTGCTTTTCCCTTCCTTTGGCTCTGGCTGTCACATCAGTCTCCGGAGAAGAGTAGTTTTAAGTAGGCAATTACTTGTGATTCATAGGGTTTATTAGAAGTAAGGGAAGTCCAATCATGTCTGGCCTTTCTCACCTCTCATTTGGGAAGAGAAGGTTCCTTCAGCAAGCCAGACATACATCTCCATTACCTGTGACTGCTGTGGTGTGTTAATGGATGCCCTTCCCCCTCTTGAGAGGAGAGAAAGAGGCCAGCAGCTGCATGGATTCCTTAATTCTTCTGGGGTGTCAGTTAGCTTGGCCTAGTAGCAAATGTGAATATCTCAGGCTTCAGTAAATAGTATACATGTCTGAGCTATGTTGAGGGGAGAGAGACAGAGACCCATTCCTCCTGAGCAAGGGTTGGGAGGGCACTGGGCTTTGGGGGTGCTGCTCCCTACTTTGCTAGTCATCTCAAACATCCTTTGGGCCAGCTCCCAAGTCCTTCTTTCCTCAGCTGCAAGACATTGTAAGACCTCTGCTTTGGACAGGACCGACTGGGAGCACATTGCGTACAGAATGTGTCCTTGTGCTCTTGGTATGAGCTGGAGAATAGACTAGGTTGGGACTACTCTCACTTTACATCTCGTTATGCTGCTTAATGTTTTAGCCCTTTGGGAGAACGGAGATAATAGACTGCAATACGCTGGTGATTGTACTGATAGCTTGCACCATTCCTTTAGATTCTTAGAAGGGCCTTTTCTCTTAGTAATTATTAAAGCCTGCCTCTTTGGGAAGTGTCCTTGCATGAGAGAAACCACCTTTTTACTTCAGATCAGCAATGACATCTTGTGCTGGGCTCTAATAAGATGAGAGCATATGAATTTCACGTTTCCAGAATGGCTGTCACCTCCTCAGAAACCTCAGATAATTATAAGGCTGTTGCTTCTGCCTTATTTTGTATCTTACTTTTATTCAGTCCCTCAGATAGCTGTGTCTGTCATTTGTTTCGCTTTCCCTCCCAACACAGTTAGCTCTTCTTTTTGATTAACCACAACACAGTTAGCTCTTCTTTTTGATTAACCAGACCATTAAGTGCTCACAGTCAATTGCCAATAATAACTGTCTGGGTTGGGGTCTGTGCAGGTTATTGGTTTAATTCGCATGAATCTACATGAGCCTTCCTGCTGGAGGGAAGGGCCAAAAGGTAACTCAGACTCTTTCCGAGGAGGCTACCTTTAGAGAGAAGTGGCAGGAGTGCTGGTTATATGGTGGGATTTGATGAGGTCATTTTGGAAGGAAGGACAAAGAACCCTAGCAAAACTCTTCTGCTGGCTACTCAGAACCTCTTCTTGCCACTGTTTTCCTGCTCCTCTTTCCTGCCACATGAAAGAAACAAACTCTGGGAACCTGCAGAGACTTTGTTTATCCAAAAAACCTACTGATGAGTCTTGCAGTAAATGAAGCTGAATCCACAATCCTTGTATGGGTGATTTCTAGCAGTGGTTCTGCAGGCCCTTTCTGGAAGGGTAAACCTTGGGCCAATGTTTTCCAAATCAGGGGTAAGCGGAGCTCTGAGCCAGCTGTCTCTACCAGGGCAGTGACCGACCCCATTGCTAAGCAAATTGGTGTTATTTATCAGTACTGGGATTTGATGCTTGCTTTATATAAATGTGAATTCAAGAGCAAGACAAACCGAAAATCCTACCTTATGGCTGAGGACAATAAATCCTACCTCATGGTTGCTTCATTCCCAGAAGGGGAAGCACAAAAGTAGGTGCTCTCCCCTCCAAGAAATAGCAGCCTCCCACCAAGTGCAGCAGGACCCCTAGACCTAGACTTCCCTACTGCTGCCTGGGAAGATGGGGTAGTAGAGGTCAAGGCTTTTAGCACTTAACTCCAGCAGCTGGGATACCTGTGCAGGAGCAGAAGGGCTGGGCTTATGTTGCTCCTCTTCTCCTGCCATCTCATGAGGTGATATAAAAAGGGAGAGATGACAGGGGTGATTTGCGCTTCTCTCAGCTGTCATTGCAGGCCTTCACTTTTAGCTACATCACTTGCCGATGGTTTTCTCTGCAATTTACATATTGTTACAAAAAAGGGAAAGAAGAGGGGAGCAGATGAAAAGACATGACCCTGCAAGCTGGGCTCATGCCTCAGTCTGGCTTTGACTATACAAAAACAATTTTTGACCTGAGATCTTCTGTGAGCTCACTCATTCACCCCATCAATACTGTGCTAGCAAGGCATGGTGTGAGGGACAGGGGTACATATCTGGCCTCAAGTAGACAGTAAAATACATCCTTTAGATCTGCTAATGAGTTCTGACTCACTACGTGAATGATGTACTCTCAAACTCTCCATCCATCATCATCCTCACACCATCCCCCTTGTCATCTGTCAGTCAGTCACTGGAACTGAGATATCAAACATCCTCCTGTAGCATGTTAGTGAAGTCCTAGTTGCACAAGAAGAACAAGGAGGTTGCTAGGAAGTATAAATATTAGACTGTGAAATGCATACTTGGTTTGTTGAAGCCTGTTAAGATGTCGTTTAGCTCTGTGTGTATGTATTCGCATGTGTGTGTTGTTAGCAGCTCAGGAAAGAATAAATCTTGCTACCACTTTTCTTGATAACTTCTCTCAGCATTTAAGATCAAAGTTTTTAGCCTTTCAGAACTGAAGGTCTTTTTCTTCTTGAGTTGCTTTCATTTCATTTTGCTGGCTAATGCCTGAAAAACTCGGAGATCAGAAAGGAAGACTGAGTTTTAGAGTGCTTTTTAAAGGATACTGAACAAACCCAACCCCCATTGACTTCTATGGAAGCTGATGTTTCTCACTAACTCCTGTGACCAAGACAGCATTTTCTATGTTTAGAAATTAACTTTAATTTACTTTTTCTGAATGCTTTCTCCTTTCCCCAAAAAGTATTTCTTAAGATGACTAAGGAAGGTAGGAGCATTAATAACACTCTGGGACAAGGATTCATGCTTGACTTGGCCACAGCACCGCTGAGGAAGAAAACGTATTGCTAGAGTATTGTTTTTGCAGTGGTGAGCCTGCTCTAAAGACCATCAGAGGTGGGAACGCAAGGCACGAGGAGCTGCAGGCTTCAGCTTGTACAGCTGGTGGTCTAGGAGGAGGCATGATCATGACAGCCATGAGTAAGCTCACAGTGCTGATGCTTCAGCCAGCCATGCCCAAAGGGATGCCTTCTGTCAAAATTGAAGGCATGGCAGTGCAGGAAAAGGCTAATTCAGTGTCAGAAGTTCCTCTGACAGTCATTACTGACTAATCAGTGTAGGAACTGGGGGTTATGGAAAGCTATCAGAAGTCAATTAAGAAAAAATAAGCCCGTTTGTTTGTATGTCTTTCAGATTGAAATGCTAGAGCACAAATACGGAGGTCACCTGGTGTCTCGCAGGGCAGCCTGCACCATCCAGACCGCTTTCCGGCAGTACCAGCTCAGCAAGAACTTTGAGAAGATCCGCAACTCACTGCTGGAGAGCCGCATGCCACGCCGCATCTCTCTGAGGAAAGTCCGGGTCCAGAATTCAGAGAGCTTCTCTGCTGAGAAAGCCCTGGTAGAGGGATACAACTTTGTTGGCATTCCTTTGGTGAGGTCCCCATCTTTGCCAGCCACTATCAGTGGGGCACTGACAGAGCTAGAGGACTCCTTCACGGAACAAGTTCAGTCTCTGGCCAAGTCCATTGATGATGCCCTCAGCACCTGGAGCCTGAAAACCATGTGTTCTCTGCAAGATGGAAGCTCATACCAGATCAGAGAGACCTTCAGTGCCAGCTCAGTGCAGCCAAACCAAGACTTAGAAGCTGAGCTGCAGGATGAGGAGAAGGAGGAGGGGCTCCTGCCAGACACCCTGCCCAAGAGCAGCAGCACTCTCATGATGGCCTTCCGGGACGTCACTGTCCAGATTGACAACAAGAACATCTCTGTCTCATCGTCTACCTCGGTGTCCATGGCAAACTGCCTCGGCAGCAATGCCCAGGCTGGGCTCTCTCAAGCCACTAAGACTGAAGAACCCCCAGGAGAAGGAGAGGGAGAAGTCAGTGAGCCTCAGACTGCCCCAGAGAGCTTACCTGAGTCCAGAGCTCTCCAGAACAGCCACACTTTCACCGAAATGAACGTCAGCACTAACGGCATGGGGGACAACAGTGCTGAGCCCGGACAGATTGCAGTGCAGAAGCTCCAGTTTGATGCTAACAACGAGATGGGGCAAAGCAAAGGCTCTGAAACTGAGAACGTGGACAACTCAGAGCAGCTGAGCAGCAGCAGCACCTCCACTTCAGCCAAGTCAGCCTCTGAGGTTTCCTCAAAGGAAGCACTGCAGGCAATGATCCTCAGCCTCCCACGGTACCACTGCGAGAACCCAGCCAGCTGCAAGTCCCCCACACTTTCCACAGACACTATGAGGAAACGCCTCTACCGCATTGGGCTGAACCTCTTTAATATGTAAGTATCTCTTTCATCTTCTGTTTTTCCCAACCTACTTCATGCCTCACAGGAATATGTGATGGCAGGCTCTTGGGCTAGCTCCATCTCTGGGGAAATTCTTTCACATTCAGGGGTGTGACCCTGTGGGTATGCAATGCAGATCACAAGCTGGCTGCCCAGAGGCTTTGTCCCTAAGGTCTCCCAAGTGCTGTCCTGATCTTCTGTCACAACAGAGGAACAAACCAGTGAATGCTTCCCTGAATTCTGAACCTTCACTCCCAGTTGCTGTCCATTTGGCTTCCAACAGCTGAGCTTGGGATGTAGACCCCTGCTCCACTCCGTTGTAAAAGCACAAGCAAAGCTGGGAATGTAGTCCCAGCCTCGGTAACTTAATATGGAGTATTTCCAAGGAGAAAGACAGACAGAGGTAGAGCTGAGCCTTGCTAGCCCAGTATGAGTGCTCTGGTTGCCATTTTCCTTTCAGTATTTGGGTAGATTTTTCTTCACCTGACAGACCAGCTTTAGTCATCTCAGTCTCTCACACATCTGAAGCTGATATTGTATGAAAATGCTGTAGGTGTGAACTCAGGAAAACCAGCCTTCAGGACCTGAGTTACCCTTCCAACTTCCCAGCATGATGTGCTCCTGCTCTGAGTACTGTCAGCACACTCGGTCTCATGGGATGGACAGCAAGGAGTCATGACCTCACTCACCAGCCCTCTAGTGTTATGCTGAGAAGCAGTAGCTGGTAAATAAGCTGCACCACTCTCAAGACAAGAGATTACAGTCAGGGAAGGTTAACTCAGGGGGTCACACAGAGTCTATTTTGGACTGGCAGAAAGCAGCTGAGCTCCTATAAGAAGCTTTAGATTTGCTCATTGCCTTTAGATGAGACTTTCCTGATCAAAGTGAGCCATGAGCAATACTGCTTTTTGCCCCATCATCACACTCTCATCTCATGCTGTTATGTTTTCCATTTGAGTCCCCTGATGAGGATGCTGGGAGTGTGATGCTTTCATACTAGCAGAATATTTTGCCACTCTGGCCTTTTGGCCAGAGTGAGGCCTGAAGATTGCACAGTTCTAGATAGCAGTTTTGCACAGACAAGGGAGCAATGCGCATGACTTATATCTGTGTAGTATGGAGGCTCATGGGCTCAAGGAGGGAGGAACCTGGATAAGAGGTCTGTAGGGCTGGGCTCAGAGCACATCCAGAACTGAAATGAAATTTTAGCAGACAGATCTGGGAGTCATACAGAACTGGAAAGAACATTTTACTAGGTCTGAGATCAGATCATGAATGGGTGGGTCCATGTGTATATATCAAAGTCAGGCTGTGGGTACGCACAGTTTTCCCTGATGAATACCCACCGTCTGGAACTGAGAGAAGGTAGGTACCAGGCACAGATGGGGACTGATTATGACAGAGGTAGTTCCAGGTCCGCACAGATGTTCTGGTGTTTGTGTTGGGATTGGTGTCCTTCTGGAGAGGGACATGGGGCTCACATCTTTGCAAGCTAAGTGCTTCAGTATTCCCAGCCATGCTTGGCAGGAGTCTGTCCACCCAAATTATTTTCCTTTGATTCCTGCAGGGTTGACACGAGCACTGACGTGACGATAAAGCAGGAATGAAACTGCTTTTTCTCAACCTCTCCTTCTCCCCCAGTCCGTCTGGCACACATTCATGTGACAAATTAGTGGTGCCAGGTCTGTTTTGGGGAAGCAGCTTTGCTGTCTTCCTTCATTCAGTGACCCAGGTTCACTGCATCTTGCAGGTCCCTGTGGGATTGGAGACTTGGTGATGTTGCAGAGCTCAGAAACATGACTTTCTGGCCAGGTCTCCCCTTCTCCCTTGTAACTAGTTGCTGAAATAATGTGCCAGTAACATGTAAAGCTTAGTTTTATTGACAAAACATTGGGGGACAGAGAGAAAGGGAAATGGCTTGTTAGATCTGGGGAGTGAAACCTTCTCTTTAACCACTGAACAGGAGCTAAGGGATACATATTTCCCCCGTGACAGCGTAGTGCACTCCAATCCCAGAGGCTACAATTCAGCCATTCAGCCTTTTTCAGTTATTTGGTTGTTGGCATCCCTGCCATTTTCCAGCAAGGAGATCGTTTACCATTGTAGGATTTGTAATGTGGGCAGGAACCCTTAGGACAGGGAGCTGAGGCTCTGTGTGTGTGTGTGTGTGTGTGTGTGTGCGCGCGTCTTTTTCCTGGCTGCTCCACTGGGCCAAGAGGTGAAAGTCTCTAGTTGCTAGCACTGTCTGCCATAATCTATCTGGCCCTGCATTGTGTTTTCAGAAAGCAGTGCTCTGGCTTGGAGCAGGCGCCTGGGAACGTATTGATCCTGCGCTGCTGTGGCGCTTTCCTCGTTCCCTCTCCACAGTGAGGGGGAGGAATCCCTGGAACGGAGTTTGCTTCATTATGCAGTGCTGCTCTAATAACTCAGTGTGTGTGTGGGCAGCTGGCTGCGTGGGCAGAGGGAAAGCCAGCAGGACGTGAGGAATCCCACAGCATTTGCTGGCCCTGCTGAACACCCCGGCAACACTAAGGAAAATAGCAGGGACCAGGCTCAGAAGAGAAGGAAATGGAGTTGTGTGCTGCACATCTGGGTAAAAGCCACATACTGCAGTAGATGAGATACATCTGCAGGTGTTCAGTGGCAGAGGTGCTGTGTCACTGTCAGGATTTTGTGGGGAACAACTTGAATCCAGGGAAAAGCTGATGAAAGCCTGCTGTTAGTGAAATAATAGTGTGTGCCTGTATATTTGAGTTTTAGTCTAGGCAGTGCAGAAGGGCTGTCAGAGATGGGCTGTTTTATTCTATGTTGTCTTACTTTGTGTATGTCATCCCACCTGAAATCCATACATCCATGCCAATGTTTGAGCTGCATTCTGCTGGCTACATTCAGCTCCTGCTTCTCCTGGAGTGAATCCAAAGTTAATCCAGTGGCCTTAGAGACCCACTAGAGTAGCTGAGATCATCCTCTGGCCTTGAACACCACACTGTCATTTGCAGGACACCAAAATATGCACATAGAGGTGCGTTTTATGAATCTCTCTGTTGCTGAGCTTGACTTCAACCCGAACTTATGACTATCGACTTTAGCAAAGACGTTTACCTGTGTTCTTCAAAGGTGAGTCAGAAGATTTGTGCAATAGCACAGAAGGTGCATTGTGACCCTGTTGCTTTTCCTCAAAGATCTCAGTAGGCTAAACAGGCCTGGATTTTTCAACAGCAGATCTTGCAGCTCCCCTGTTCATAAATTTAATGGGCTGACTTGCTCTCCTCACCATTCTCCCCAGGGATGTCCCATTGCCCAGTATATTTTCTTTGTGTCATTAAAAAGTAAGTAGAACTTTTCAGGCCCTTCTAGTTTTGGCATGCTGACAGGGACCCCTGTACAGAGCAGGTCATTGTCCTGAATGCTGATCCCCTTACAGCTAGGCATATGTTGCTCACCCATGTCCTTCACCACCTGACAGTGTGACAGTGTCTGCCTGTGCATATCAGGCATTCTCATGCTCTGAGATCTCATGCTATCCTTTCCCCACCCAGGGAACCGTCTGAGCAGACTCACTCCTTGGGCGTTAACAAAGGTCTCTGAATTCAGGTTAATGGTGGAAGTGTAGCACCCTTCCCTCTCTCTCATTAGGAAGAAATGCTTTCCCCAGCTAACAGAATTTGGAAATCTTCCTGGCAAGCACTAATTCACCTCAGCAGAAGGGCATCGCAGCTGACACCCTTCAGTGGGGCAGACTGAGATACAGGAAGAAAGCCTGCACAGCATGCACATACATACTCCTGCATATACCTGGAGGGACAAGCACCCACATAGACTCACAACCGCTCCTAGATACATAGAAACATGCTTATAGAAAGAGACTTGGGGAGAAAGCCAAAATGTGCACACAGGCAGCGGTGGCAGCTCTTAGGAACGTGTATGGTCCAAGAGAAATCTACATGTATGAAGAGGAAACACACACACAAATGTGTGCCCTTGTAGGCATATGCATTACCCGCAGAGAGCTGCGTACGCAGGCATAGTTGAAGGCACGCTAATAAGCAGAAAAACATTCCCACAAACAGGCATTCAGGCTCACTCCATGCCAGGCCTGTTCTCAGAGAGGCACTCACAGCCACAGAGGGAGAAACACCCTCTGTTTCGGAGCCTTTACACAACTCTCTCCCAGCTCTGCTAAGGCATCCTCCAGGTGCATGCTCTCATCTGCCCACACACAGAGATTTCTGCCTGAGGGGGTAAATCAGTAGAGAAAGCAAGAACAACACAGCTAAGGGTGGGGGAGTGGAGGAAGAGAGGCACAAATTTGAGTGTGGCATTTCTATTCAGGCAGCCAGCACCAGGCTCGAGTGAGCAGGGTAGAAAGTGTTACTCAACATTGAGCAGTAAAAATGTAAGAAAAAGGGAATAAAAATTTTTGCGGAAAAAGGGTCCCACCTTTGGTTACCCTGCTCTGTGTCTTGATATTTATTTGCCTGTGACCATACGTTAAAAATGCCTCCTAAGTCTCTTTTGTACCTTTGCCTTTTATCTGTCCTACAGAACATGCAGCTCAACTTCCTCAAGACAGTTGCAAAGGGCCAAGTGCCCCATTCTCATCCCTGGTCCTAGTGGATGGCTCTCTGAGGGGTGCATTTAGAGTAGTTGACCCTAGTGGTGTTCCCTGTGCTGTCTCTGGCGGGCACCACAATGGCCGCTGACACCTGTCTGGATGTCATGTCCTCGCAACAGCCCTAAACAAACCAAGCTGGAGCATGGAGGATACAAGAGAATCGACCCTGTAGCAGAGGCCTGTCAGAAAAGAGTCACTTATGAGGCTGGTACTGTGTGGCAGGGTCCTTTGTGGCAATGAGATGGCACTTCTGCTCCTCAGGTGGCAGCAGGTGCTGCAGGTGACACAGCAGGTCCTGTGGCATCCCTTCATCCTGAAGTCAGCAGCACCTGGAGGGGAGTCCTCCAAGTCACTTGTCCCTGTCCTTACCAGTCCTGCCCCTGCCACACACAGGTGCATAGGAGCCCATGCATAAGCCAAGGGTTGCATTGCTGGATGCCATAAGATGAGCCAGAGGTAGCAACACCTCAGAGAGATCATCCAAACTCACCATGTTTCTGTCCTTCCCTTACAGCAACCCAGACAAAGGGATCCAGTTCCTGATCTCCCGAGGCTTCATCCCGGATACCCCCATTGGGGTGGCACACTTCCTGCTCCAGCGGAAGGGCCTTAGCCGCCAGATGATTGGGGAGTTCCTGGGCAACAGCAAGAAACAGTTCAACAGGGACGTCCTGGAGTAAGTGTGGAAACCTCTTCTCCTCCTTCCTGCTCTATAAAGGAGCCACCAGCCCTCCCTGGTCCTGGCTGTGCCAGCAAGCACCCTCTCCTCCATGCCCCTCCATCCCTACTCTGCAGGAGCCTCAATATTCCTCACCCCAGTCTAGCACCTTTCATTGCATTCTCCAGCAATGTCTTTGCTCCTTCATATCAGCAACCTGTTCATTTTGTTTTCTTCCTCCCAGAGCGCCTGCAGGAGCTCAGCACTGGCAGGGGGTAGAACTAGTATGCTGAGGTTTGTGGCTGGGTGGCTCTGTGGCTGGGGAGCATAAAAAACAGGTCTTACCACTCATCCAGGTAAAGCACTTGTGACACTTTCTGGGAAGTGTTAAGACAGGCAAAGGAAAGAAAAACATCCGCTCCTTGCTGTGAAACCAGCAGGGAATGGAGAACTCTGGCTGCTCGTTTGGTTCCCTCAGTGCTCAGCTCTGACATGGGTGACCTTTTCAGTTTGTCTAGCTGTATTACGGGTATAATAAGGGAGCTGGTCTTGTTGGTGCTAATGAAGCAGCCTGCATGAGGAAGCATGCTACTAATGGCTTATCATTACCTCTGTAATTCTAGAGCACTGATGATCATCCCCACTCCAAAAACTCCTATGGGCTGAGCTGTCCCTTGTCTGAGCACAGCCCAGGTTTCCTCCCTGCTTATGTTCATTCAGTGGCTGCCCTTGCTGGACTGTTCCCTTTAATTCACTCACTGTGACACGCTCTCTTGGTCTCACAGGCCTCACCATCAGCTCTTACCCTATACCTCTCTCCTCTTTCAGCCCTGCAATTTGGCCTGCAAAATCCTGGAAACACCTGAAACTCATACATGCTACCTCAGCATCTGCCTGTAGTTCTACTTTCCAAAAAATACCTATTGCTAACCTGTCAGCATCCAACTGTGGGCATCACAGGAGTAGGGTTGAGGTACTGGGAAGAAAAACATCTTACCTGTTCTTCTGACCATTGTCCAAGATGACAGGCTTTGTGCAAAGAGTGGCCTGGGGAACTGAGATGAGCCTTCATTTCCTGCTTGTTCCGGTCATCTGCTTGCCATTCAGATGAGAGCAAAGAAGGCACAGCATAGTGTATAACCAAAAGGGAATATCAGGGACAGGAAATACTGTCTCCCCCATCCTGAGAAACTCCCATAGTGAAAGCAGGGGAGGTTTGTGCCAGGTTGTGAGCATGAGTGCTGCCCTGCATGGGCAGTGGGAGCAGCAGTGCTGCTTGTGCCTCTCTGCTCATGGGGCCCTGGTGTAGCACTGTGACATGTGGAGCTGGGGACAACAAGCTCATTCAGAGCCCAATTTTTGGAACTGATCAACACTCAGCTGGGCCCTTCCTTTATTAGGCACCAGCACAGCTCTTAGTCAGAGCTACTGTTCCATTAGGTAGTGAGGACTGCACTGGATTCATTGTTATTTTCAGAGATGGGACCCATCTTCCCAAACATTAACTTCTTCTCCCTTGAATTTCACAGTGGCTTCTCTTGAACTGAGACAAAATGAAAACCTAAATCCAACACACATACCCCTTCTAGTTCAGGGAAAGGTTGGAGGGTGCCAGTTCAAGAGCCAAATCTAGGCCCAGATTTCGAAATCCATCCCTGCTGCAATTGCTTCTGTTTATTGCTTCAGGTACCTTACCGTTGATCCAGCCCTGTTTTTAATATACTGTATGGATATTGATCTGGCCAGCAACAAGACACATGTTCTCTCCAATCTCTTCATGCTGAGAGCTGCAATTAAAAGTAATTGCTTCTTCTTCTGCAGCAAGCAATGTGTGGGCTGCTTCCCCTGGCAGATACTATGCCGAAGTTCAAACCTAGCCTCTGCACAAAGAGATATTATTGCAATAGCAATAGGCTGGCACTTCCTTGTAGTCCTAAGTTCAGCATCATCTCTGCAAATGACCATGTTCTTCTGCCTCGCGCATCACTACAAACTCTGTGTCAGCAGCTCCTGGGAACAGTCCCTATTGCAAAGCTTGGTCTCCGCCTCTCAGCCTCAATCCAGAGGAGCTGCTGTGTTGAATCTGCCCTCTGCATGTTGCAGGAGGGCTGTTAAAGCAGGTCATCCCCATTACTCTCAGTTTCTTCTGTACCTCTAGTGGTAGCACTTCAAATATTCAATGAAAGAGTGATTCTGCCATCCTATTTACAGATGGAGAAAGCAAGGATCAGAGATATGAACTGCTGAGGCTGTGTCTACATGCTACAGTCTTTAAGCAACGGGGTCTGAACTCAGGGCTGAAACTTGTGTCTGATTCCTCTATGCAACAGATGATGTTCTTGCACTAACAATCCATGCTGCCATACCCTCCTCACAATAAATTGCTGACTCATCTTCCTTAAAGGCAAAGATAAAAGTAGACATAAAATATACATAAATGTTCTAAAACAGCAAGGAAAAACAGACAGAAAGACTGCCAAACACACCTTTAGCTGGTTACAGCTGTGCTGTTTGCAGGTACTTTTCCTCTCTTTCTGTGTCAGTTTTGAGCTCAGAGGATAGCAATTGCTGGTGTTTTTTGCAAGCAAATTTTCAATGGCTACCTGTGAGAATTGCCTGGGCAATGGCTGCACACTCAGCAGTGTGACATTTGTGGAAATAAAGCATCACCAGGAGAAGTTCTGGCCCAGAATTGCCATCCTGGCTATTTTTCCTGACCATGGAGCAGCATGCAGAGGGCTGGCAGGGTAGTTCGGTGTGCTGATACTTCCAGTGTGTGTGTGGCAAGGACTAGTCACAACTTCTGAGCTGTTTGTGTGTGAACATGAGGCAGCTCAAGGACCTTTTGGTATTTTAGCGCCGGCTAAGACCTAGTCTGGTTCTTGCTCCCCATCCGTTGGTGTGAATAAGGAGCAACTCCCATTAAATTAGTAGAGGAACAGTGGCACAGGTCAGGAGAATGGAGTCTGCAAGGGCTTTTCTCGCAGTCCCCACATCTATGCACACCTAGCAAGCCAGCATTAGGATTCCCCAGAGAGCATGTAGCAGTCAGGATAGCTCCCACAGTAGCTTCTGCCCAGCCTACCAGTGCCACACTCTGCATTTTTGTAACCCAAGTCACCTTTCCTCTGCCCCTCTGGCTGCAGGAGAACAGGCACTGCTGGTCCTGGCAGACTCAAAACACCCAGATAGAGTGGCCAAGGCCATTGGACAGGCACTGACTACCTGCAGTGAGCAGGCCTGTGTGAAGGGGGGATGTCTGCTCCTTCACATCCCAGACCAAGCTCTGGAGCCTTGCCAGTCTGCCCTCTCCCTTCTGAAAACAATTTCAATTATTAATGCCAGTTGCTGTGTTAGTTTAGCTTTCTCTCAATGTGAAAACTTGTGTTAGAAATGTGTACTGTAAGCATTGTTTCTCTCACAGCCAGATTGAATTAACCCAACTACATGAATAAATAATAGGACAGCTTTTAAAATATCTGCAAAAGTCTCAGCCTCCCTTGTGCATTTGGATGTTGGGCAGAACTACCCGAGTTACAAACCTGAGGCTTAGCCATAAGTCTATACTCTGCAAACTTCTCCTGGCTTCCATGGGTTTTTGTGCTCCTAGAGGCCTTTTGTGCCTGACCTGTGGTGGCTGATAAGCAAGCTGAGCACTTCCTGTGCCTGGAGGCAGTGAACACAGCTCAGAAGTGTGCATTGACATTTGGCGTTGTGAAGATGATCTCTCCTTACTGCCCACCTAGTTAGTGAATGCAATACTCCAGAGTCGTGATACGCTGGTTGCAAAGCCTCTGATGTGCATGATGAGGCATGAGGGAGGATAAGCACAGGATGAGGCTTGAGCACTGTGATATGCTCTTTTGCCTTCCCACACCAGAATTTCCAAATCCTAAAAGCCCTGAACTTATATTCTTCCTTCCACTTTCCTCCTCTATCTTTCAGCCTTTAACAGATTTTCTTAGAAGCCAGAAGAGATATCTGATTAACATACAGTCTAGCCAGAGCAAGAAAGAGTAAAGCCCAGAGCATTAACACATAGTTTTATTATGATGCATGCTGTCATTCTTAACATCCTTTCTTACCTTCTTTCTTTTGTATTACACACTCAGAAATTACAAACTTACAAAATTACTCAATTTTGTATTTCTGTTTGTGCAGTCTTCATTCTGTGTTTATTTTTTGCTTTTGTTCTCCTTCATTCATCCTTCCCTTCACTATAGTTCTTTCTTCCCCTCCACCTTTTTCTGACTCAGGAATTGCTTCCATTTATAGTTCATTCATGAGCAAGAAAATGTGAGTGATGCTGTGAATGAAGCTGGCTGTGCTGCTGGTGTCAGATGGCTTGTACTCAGGTCTTGGGTCTTTAGGAAGGGCAGAAGTGGCTGTCCTTATACATTTGCTGTCAGAAGAGAAAGGAACAGGGATTCAAGCAGAGGAGACATTGTGCAGAGTAGGGGGCTAGTTGCTGTTAGACTGTAAGTGCTGCTGTAGTTCTGATATGCTCTCCTTGCAGATGAGCAGCTATCTTGTCTGTCAAACATGTATTATCTTCTCTTTCTCTAATGGGAAGTCAGGGAGAGAAAAGCAGCTCCTAGGAGTGTAACTGCAGAGCTGGACACCCAGCAAAGAGGCTGCCTCTCAAAGAAGTGTTTGATTCCTCTTGAATTGGCAGAGTGAACTTGACAGGTTAGTCCAAACTAGCCTCCCTTTCCCTTCTCACTAAGGACATTACAGAGAATCAGTAGGGAACTTGCAGTACAGGAGCGTCTGAGCAGTGCAGAGCTGCAGCTCATGCTGTGGAGCAATAGAAAACGATGAGAAGGAGGTGGAGGAGACAGGACAGAATGTGTTGCACACATTCTGACTTCCTGCTGCTGCACCTGTGCCATAACCTCCCTTAGGCAAGCAGAGCTGTGTGCGCAGCTCAGCCTTGTGAACCAGAGCAGCCTTCCCATGCCAGACTTGCAAGAGCTGAAGGCACATTTTGAAGCTGCACAGGTGCCCAGGGAAACAGCAGGCTCCCTTGTACAAAGGCCCTTAATGTCCCTGGAGGGGGAGATGAAAGCTGTGCAGAATCTTCTCCTGCACAGCCAGCCTGCCTGGAGTGGGAACAGCTCTCTACCTTGGGAGACAGCTCTGGCCCAAAGCATGGCACTCCAAGCAATTTCTCACTTGTGAAGGAGTAGGTTCCCAAGCAAGGAGCCATGTGAGCTACCAACAAGTCTGTGACGGCTAATAGGCATGATTCAGCCCCAGAAAAAAAAACAAAAACAGGCTATATATGTAGTGCACCATCCCCCAGAAAAGCAAGACTGATGTATGCCATGGCCTCCACTTTAGAGGCTACCCTGACAGAAAGAGGGCAAGGAGAGGTGCTATATGGAATTCTGGAGTTAGGACACATGGCTGTGTTTGCTGGTGCAAGTGAGCTCTGCTTACTCTTCATACCATGGGCTTCACTTTCTGTATGCAGGGCAGCCTCCTCCCAAGGAAATGAGCTCTTCTGCAGCCCACCCTGAGCTTAGTTCTTGTGAGAGAGCGTAGGGATAGGGGTGCTGAGAAGAGGGATGTTTTTTATTAATATCCTTGTGCCTTGTGGTTTTAAACTTTCTACCTGGCTGCCTCCCCCACTATCTCCTCCCTAAGTGTGGGCTGCAGGTTTGTTATAGACGCTTTCAGTTGCAGCCCAGCTCCTGCTGCATTGTCACCTGAGTGGAAAAGCTGGAAAATAGGTCATTATGCTTGGGCGAGCAGATGCCAGCCCCACACAATACAGCTGCTTCCTGCCTTCTCTCAACCCTTTTGCAACAAGGCTCTTTTGCCATGCTTAACCCTGTGCTTAATTTTTGCAGCCCTGATGCCCCAGTGTCCACCCCCTTTTGGGGGGACCCATGCCCTGCAGCCCAGGAAACAGGATGGCTACTACATACCCAACAGCTGGGCAAAATGATCCAAACTAGGCACCCACCTTCTGGGTCCCATCACCTGGCACCTGGAGCCCAGTTCTTAGCTGTTGTGAGGTGCCTGTCTGCTGAATGCCTCCGGACAGACCCAGCTCCATGTGTGTACAGCTGCCAGAGGAGCCTTTAAAATGCACCATCTTGTTTATGAAGCAAGGAGTCAGTACCTTTCCTGTTCACTTCAGCAACACATAGCAAACATCCAAAGTCCTGTCCTTGCAGCACTGGGCTAACTGCATGTCTGGGTGTTCTGTGAGTTCAATTCACTAGGCTCATAGCAAGTCCTTGGGAAGGAAGGGGCTGAAACAGGAGGAGACTTTATAATGCAATTACTCTGCTCCCTACTTCCTTATCCTTCAGGCCTCCTGGTGGTCCTGGAGCAGGCCTCTCACAGGCATGCTGCTGTTAGTGGAGAAATGAACTCAACACTAGCTTTGGCACATACACATAAGCTGTTGGCTTATTGCTTGGATGCAGAGAACCATGCGGTCTCAGCTCAACCTTCGTCTCTTACATTGTCAAACCCAGTTCTGGGGAGAGACAGCCTCCTCATGCATGCAGTTATACTGTCTTTTACATTGCAGCTCTGGGGGCTGATGAGGTGAACACACTTTTTGCAATATGCTTGCCATGATATCCTATGTCAGCTTCTAAAGTCTCTACCTGTTTTGGAAAGAAAAGACCTCCTTGCTCCGGTTTTACAAAGATATGTTGCATTGCGTTTCGGGAAAGCTCTGATGTAAGCACCACAGTGTACACTTCAGAAACTTAATGGGAGACTGTACATAAAGCCTGACCTGCTCTGAGGCCAGACAAGGCAGGAAAACTTGCAGCCACCTAGAACAGGAGCAGGAACATGGCAGCCCCATGGCACAAAGCTATTTGCCGATTTGAATGTACTTTGCTGTGTCAAATTTGCTCACAAAAATTGTCAGATAACTATGACCCAGCATTCTTTCTGCTTGTCTGCAACCCACTAGCAGCATATCTGAGGACTACTCTAGGAGTTATTCCTCAGGCCTTTGGCACAAGCTTTGCCAGACAGGTCAAATGCAAGCTCAGGCTGTCTTTGTTTGAGTCAACATTTCTTTGTAACTTGTCCTTTCTGCCTTGTTAAGTTTTCTCAGAAAGAAGGCTACCCTTGTTTTGGCTGAGGGACAAACGGAGAGGATTTACAGGAGTTTCAGCTTGGAATTTACTAAATAAACCTGCAGGTGTCATGTTATGAAAGAAACTCTCAAAGAAGAAGCTGAGCATAACTCATGTAGCAATACCTGCCTGAGTTTGAAAAGAACTATAAACAGCTGATCTGTCCTCCTCGTCTTAGCAGGGGCTTGATACCTTCTGCATCAAGGGCATTGACTTCATTATTTGAGACTTGGGCAGAAAGGAGAGGAAGCGTTAGACCAAATTGTGTGGAAGGGGAAGGACTGATCAATGAGAAAGGAAGCAAAGATACGTGATTTAATGTTGGCGGATTGAGGATACTGGGGTGACCTCAGCAGGTCTCACTGATATGTGAAAGGACTCTTCTTTCACACGGCTGGAACCAGACATTAACAGCAAAATCATTGTAGCCAATGCCAAGAAGCATCATGAATTGGAAAGGATTAAAAAATAATAACAAAAAAAGGATTAAAAAATAACAGCCAAAAAATACCCAACTTCAGAGGTAGAAAGAGGCTGTGGAGGAAGTTCTTGCTGCTGCCAGAAACCATTTGTGAGTGTTTCTGAAGTCCATCTCTTAGAGAAGAAAAAAATGATTTCATGTAAGATTTCCTGTGAGACCAGCCCCATTGGTTCTCTGTCCTTGTTCTTGACGACTTTTTCCTACATTTTGGTTATATGTAATTTATGTAG